AAAAATTGTTTAAAACAGATCCCCGAAAATTTATTTATCTAGTTTACTCTTCATGGTCAGTCCTCAGAATAGGACCTAAGTTTCTTTAGTGCGATACTGAATGTAATAAAAGTCCCAACTTAAGTCTTACATTATTAATTCGTTCGTTTTGAAGTGAAAGTCAGATCAGCAAAACTGCATCGTATAAAAGGATTCCATACCAATAAACTTCTTATGTAACAGTTTCCTATTGGGTGACGGACGTTGGTCTTTTAAAATGGGGTAACAGGTTTTAGATAGTTATACTGCAGCAATCTGTCGCGACTTCCTGGAAGTGACGATACGGCTTACAACGGTTAAAACAGTAATAAAGGCTTTCAGAGTCAAACAGATTTTTAATTTGAGTTTAAGTGCACTCAATGAGCCATTATTATAACATGTCATGTACTTGGTTTTTCAGAACGAGAATAAACAGATCAAGAGGGTATTAGTAGAGTTTCTGACCTAAAGGTGGCAAGTTGTTAGTTCAACGTGAAGAGCCAGTTTGAAAGGCTTTCATAATGCATAAAAAGGCATGACATTCTTTTAAATCCAAGCTCAGCAACAATTTTAAAGGCTTGAAAAGTCTACTAGTAACTCTTCTAAGCCTGTTTTTTGAAACTTTGTTGAAGTGTTAAGCGCAGGGTCTTCATAACGGAGTATAATTTCTAAAGCAGCTAGAAAAGTATCTTTGTTTGGCAAGGCATTAGGTAGAAAGCGAGCCTTCTAAGAGGGGACTTCTTGATTGTTCACAAATTTTTTTCCAGGAAGGGACAGCAGATCAAAAAACTGATAACAACGATAAGACTGTTGAGCTCACAGGTCTTTGCTTCTCAGCTCGTTTCACTCTTAAAATCCATGTAGAACGTTGTCCGTGGTGTGACACAGCTGAAATTGTTAAACAGGTAGTGCATTTTCCTGTTTGCTGTAAATATGTTTAACTTACTATATTGTACATTATAGCTATCAGTTATAATATTTTAAAAAGGACCGAAGTTTCACCATTTGATAGCTGACAAGTTAAGTATTAACTGGCGAGACTTTAAAAAAGTCTTCTATTTTTTGGGCTGCTTGAAATTATTCATTTCGTTATTACTTTTTGTTTTTTCTGCAACAGAACTTTATTAAAGACTCAAAAGTGCTTTCAGGACGTCTCTCCAGCAGGTAGTATGGAGGATATTTCGCACAAAGAGGACGCCGGAAACTTCTTGACTGTGCTTTTGGTTTCTCTAGCTGTGCTTGCGGGTATCGGCTTCTTCGTTGTGTTTTTGCTCTTTACAGCCATCGTTCTACACAGAAAATCATTTTTCAAACCAAAGATAAGGTCAAGTTACCCGGTTGTTCCGCAAGAAAGGTAGGTAATTTTTTTTAAAAAGTTGTTGCGTTTCTTTCCTTTCGCTTCCAGTCAATTCTGACATACGACAGGACTGAAAGAAAGGACTACTTTGCTTTGGCAAATCCATATTGGATCAGTGGTAACCTTGGCATGAAAGATCTTAGCCTTGAAATGTCTGCAGTACATCCTTCTGAAAGGACCTCTAATATTTCGCTGGGCGGCCCCTATCAAATTCTTTCTGTGAATTCCTCAGAAAGATGGTCGCCTTGTGACAGTGGTGTTATAACTGTATGAAGCATTATTGTAGAAATTTATTTAAACCGGGTGTTTTAGGTTTTCTGGTTTATAATTATGTTGTTTGTGTGGTATCGGGTTGCTATGTCTGTAACTACTAGTCATCTTTTTTACTACCTCTAACCACTGGATGGAGTAACCTCAGCTTGTTGTATCCAAAATGTAACATGTTATGATGTTCTTTAGGATGCAGCTCTTGAATATAAGTAGTGAGGTCATTTCCTATTTTACTTATTTATTTTATGTTAAAGTATTTATTTTAATGAATATTTCGTATTTTAAGTTATAGGAAAAGGTG